TGAAACTAAAACCAACCCGACCCTTCAGAAATATAGGGAGAGAGCCGATACAGGGACTGGGGGATCAGACCAGAAGACGTTCACATGGGAACAGGGCAGACTATACAGACATACCGAAAAGAAAGGGAACCATAGGAGGCAGCTAGTCATTCCCCACAAGTATAGGCGAGATATACTCCGAGTGGGTCATGACATCCCATTAGCTGGACATTTAGCATTGACCCGTACCCTCAAATGGATCACCCATACCCTCTTTTGGCCAGGAGTACATGCAGATGTGCACACATACTGCAACACATGTGAGGTCTGCTAAAGGGTAGGAAAGAGAGGAGATCACCCTAAGGCACACCTTGTGAACATGCCCATTATAGAGGAACCTTTTAGCTGGGTAGCCATTGACCTAGTAGGGCCCCTCGCCACCCCTAGTCCATCCAGAAAGAGATACATTTTTACCGTGGTGGACTACGCTACCCGCTACCCAGAGGCAGTGGCTCTATCCAATATTCAGGCGGACACCATAGCTAATGCCTTAGTACAAGTCTTCTCTCGGTAGGATTCCCTAGGGAGATTCTATGCGACAGGGGTACTCAGTTCACTGCTGAACTAACGCAACAACTATGGCATGTCTGCAAAATAAAATCCCTACTTAGCTCCCCGTATCATCCTCAGACTAATGGGCTATGTGAGAGGTTCAATGGGACCCTCAAACAAATGTTAAAAACGTTCACCCAGGAATGTAGGGACTGGGAACGTTTCCTATCGCATCTCTTGTTCGCATACCGAGAGGTGCCCCAGGAAACAACCGGATTCTCTCTGTTTGAACTGCTCTACGTAAGGTGCGGGGCCCCCTAAACCTGATCCGTGAGCACTGGGAGGGAGAGACGGAGAATGCTGGAGTCCCCATCGTACCCTATGTACTGGAGCTTAGGGACCGCATGGAGCAACTAGCCCGGTCGGTCCAGGCTAACCTCCAGGTGGCCCAGAAGCGACAAAAGGTCTGGTATGACAGGGGGTGAGACGAAGGAGTTTTTGTGTAGGACAAAAAGTGATGGTGCTTAAACCTGTCAAAGCAGACAAGTTGAAAGCAGCCTGGCAGGGACCATACCAGGTAGTGGAGAAAAGAGGGGACACTACCTATGTGATTTCCAGCTGTCATGATGAAAACTTAAGGAAGATATTCCACGTGAATATGTTAAAGGAATATCTTCAATGACCCGAAGATGTAGTGGCCATATGTAGCCCCGCAACCGAAGACCCTGATAGTCTTTCCATACCCAACTTGTTGACCCAGAATGACCCGTCCGATATAGTGAGCCAAGTGCAGATAAGGGACCGACTGAACCCAGTAGAGAGGGAGCAGTTACACAAACTGCACCAAGAGAAACAGGCAATATTCTCACAGAAACCAGGGTACACCGACCTAGCCACTCACCAAGTAGACACCCCAGGGCAGCAACCTTTAAGACAGGCCCCCTACCGGATCCTCAAGGCAGTCCGGGCAGGGATGAAAAAGGAAATAACTAGCTCCAGCTAGGGGTCATTGAGTCCTCCGATAGTCCCTGGGTGTCCCTGGTAGTACTGGTACCCAAGAAGGATGGTACTGCACGGTTCTATGTGGACTATCGGAAGCTTAATGATAAAACCGTGACCGATGCATACCGCATGCCCAGGATAGATGAGTTGCTGGATCGCATAGCCAGGGGAAATTATCTAACCACCATAGACCTCTGTAAAGGTTATTGGCAAATCCCCCTGGCCAGGGAGGCTATCCCCAAGTCAGCATTCGTCACCCCATTCGGCTTATACCACTTTAAGGTCATGCCATTTGGGATGAAGAATGCCCCCGCCACATTCCAACGCTTGGTGGATAGACTCCTTGATGGCTTCCAGGATTTTGCCTGTGCATACCTGGATGACATAGCGATCCATAGTGAGTCCTGGGAGGAACACTTAGCCCAGGTGGGAATGGTCCTGGATCAGATTCGGGCTGCAGGCCTCACTCTGAAGCCAGAGAAATGCCATTTTGGGATGGCTGAGGTACAGTACTTGGGTCACTGAGTGGGATGTGGGAAGCAGCGACCAAAGCCAGCTAAGATAGAGGCGATCGCACATTGGCCCACCCCCACCACTAAGACCCAAGTGCTAGCCTTTCTGGGCATGGCTGGGTACTACAGAAAGTTTGTGCCAGACTATAGCACTGACGGACTTAACAAAGAAGAATCTTCCTCGACAGGTCCTGTGGTCTCCTCACTGTGAAACCGCGTTTCAAACACTAAAAACTGCTTTAAGTAATGCTCCTGTCTTGGCTGCCCCAGCCCCTAATCGACGTTTTATTGTTCATACAGACGCTTCCATGTTCGGGTTGGGAGCTGTCCTCAGTAGGAGACGATGGGAAAGAACACCCGATTGCCTACATCAGCTGAAAGCTCCTGCCACGAGAAGTCAGCTATGCCGCGGTGGAAAAGGAGTGTTTGGCCTTGGTGTGGGCACTAAAAAAGTTAACCCCCCTACTTGTATGGACAAGAGTTCACTCTGGTTACAGACCATAACCCGTTGGTATGGCTCAACCGGGTCGCTGGGTATAATGGACGACTGTTACGCTGGAGCTTATCACTACAACCGTCTAATTTTACAAATCACCTACTGACCCGGGAAACAGAATGGCAATGCCGACGGGTTATCACGGCAAACTGACCTCAGTCCAGCATAACTCTTCAGTCTGGACAGCCTTAGTCTACCCCGAAAAGGGGTCAGACAGTGTCTGCCAGAGTGTTCCACAAAGAGGGAGCATTGTTACAAAGACTCCGTTACAAAGACCCGTTACATTGTTATTCTCTGTTTCTGCTTATTGAGACTCTATTTTACCGGCATTCAGGCCAGGCGAACGGATTGCCCGAACTGTTATAAGGCATCATTCGTCAGTGCAAACGACCGACCACCCAGCCCTTGGCGTGTGCCGCCACTTAACCTCGTCACCCCGCGAAGTACCGAACGGCCGGCCACCCCGCGAATGGAGTGTGCCGCTCGTCAACCCCCCTTAGGCGTTGCGGTCTGCGGTTAACTGCCAGTTAATTAACGGTCCCAAGGGATTTCCCATTCACGTACAACGACCCAAAGGGAAACTACCGAAAGACTCATGAATGGGGACCACCATCGTTCTGCCGTGTGGCATCGATTAGAACGTTCATTCTGCGGTTAACCGCAGGTTAAGTACCTCTCATGGGCGGGCTCCATTCGTACCACTAACAGACGGGACAACCAGACTGGTAGCGGGGATTCGTATGATTCTGTACCCGGCCTCCGCTCCAGGAATACAGCATCGAGGTCCCGCTGGCCATTGACGCACCCAAAAACATGGCCGCCATCAAGGACTTAGAATCCAACTACCGAATAGGACTTTATATAGCAGAAACCTCCGGCTCTGGGCGCAATTCGCACACTTAATACATCCAGAGCTGAGCTACCGAATGATACATGGAAAGAACTATATTCACTTTATAATGCCTAAGTTATATTTTTATACTGTTTTCTGGAACGTAATAAAGCATGGTCTTTTTGGGCGCTTGGAGATAATTAGATCTGGGCGGGTACTAGTTTGAATGATACATTGTACTGTGATTGGTCAAATACTTGTACTGTACCTGTATCCCATCAGGTCCATGGGGGACTGTCCCTGGACCTGGGGACTTGCATAAATTGCGATGCTTGTGTGCCAGTAAAGCCAGTTTGTTTTACCCTCAACTCGCAGCCTCGACTCGTGTTGTAGGGATCCGGGAATACTAGCGCTACTACAGCTAGTGGGATATTCTACACTTACAGATTTCTACCGAATGGAACCTCGTTCGACTCTCTGACTTCGGGAACCAGGACATCCAAGCGATCCAACCTCCTGCTAGACCGGAGGCAATCGTAACAAATATAAAATACATAAAATAAGCAGCCGCTTAGTAGATAACTCCCTAGTTCCCACGGTATTAGGGAGCTTTTTACTAAAAGGCTGAAAGACCTAAATTGGTCTTTCAGCCACATTTACTAATACTAAGTAAAGATTACTTAGTATTAGTAAATTCAGCCCCTACTTGCTATACTGCGAGTAAGGGCGTGTCTAGTAAAGAGTGAGCAGCCAGCCGTGGGGGGGCCCTTAATAAGAAAGTGGAGGGGGGGACCTACTGTCCTCCCCTCCGGCCCCCACCCCTGAGTGCGGGTTCTCCCCTCCTGGCCCCCACCCGCCGCTCAGGGGTGGGGGCCGGGGGGGCAATAGGTATTTATTTTTTTTTAAAATTTAACAGTGAGCAGCCACAGGCCAATCACAGCAATGCCATTAGTAGGCATGGCTGTGATGGCTTCTTAGGGCACACGAGTCAAACGCTTGTTGATTGGCTGCCCTGCAGCCTTTCAAAACGCAACATTAAATCGCCGAACACCGAACTCTAACCCGAACATATGTGATATGTCCGTGTTCGGGTCCGGGGTCCAAAAAACGTAATGTTCGTTACAAACCCGAACTTTTCAGTTCAGGTTCGCTCAACTCTACTGGCGGTGCTTTCACTCTAGTGGTAACATGAGACGGAGTCTACAACCCACACAAGTGGCTCAGGTGGTGCAGCTCATCCAGGATGGCACAACAATGCGAGTTGTGGCAAGAAAGTTTGCTGTGTCTGTCAGCGTAGTGTCCAGAGCATGGATGCTGTGACGAGAGCAATCTCGCCACATTGCATTGGAGAAGCCTGGTTGCTCGCCTGCTGCCTTTGGACTATGGCCCCCTTTTTAAAGACTTTATTTTTGCCTGCAGAAAAGCTGTATTCGTGCTTTTCTGCCTGGGGTTCAGTAGATTTGTTTGAATGTGTTATACCCCAGATAGGAATCCCATGGAGCCCATTCGTATGAAACTGACTGTAAAGACTTTGGCTCCATGGCGATTAAACTGTATTTGTGTGGTCCGAGCGCCATTCACTTAATAATGTGCGCTCAGACCTGAGCTATCTGGGGATATGTGAAATGTCTGTGTGTTATGTGTAAAATGTAACTTTATGTATTTTAAAGTGTTTTACTGTCTTTGTGTCTTTTTGCAACCATGTGCTTAATGGAGTCTTGTGTCTGTCCTGGGAGATAATTTAATTACTCTCCAGGATAGAAGACTCTGAAACTGGTTTGGGCCAGAAAGCCATGCTTCATTTAGTCACAAAAGGACTTTTTACTAACTTTTGAACCCCTGGTCTGATTCATGCCATTTTTTAATATGTTGTTCCCCTGAATGGATTGATTGTGAATATGTAATTTTATGTGAATGTGATGTATGGTTTTGGAGTTATGAAAGTTGGGTTGAAAGTATGTTTTAACTGTATGTATAATTGAGTTTCCTCTCAGGATAAGGGGAGGGAATATGTGGGATGTAACTGTGATGTGATTGGTTGTTTTATACCTCCCCGTGGGCGGTCCTGTATTTGCAAGACTGTAATAAAAACCAGGCTGGGTGTGCCAGCACCTCAGACCACTGCTTGACCCTCAACACGGAGCCTTGTCTCGTTCTTGAGGGGATTCACTGTATGCTGTTAGAGACTGATTGCCAGGAGTGTAAGCTGATTGTCTGCTTTTCCTGTTCGTCTGCTAGCAGCTATTCGGGAGGTTCCAGTTCAGGAGTTGGAGTGCTATTTTGTATCCAGTTCGGGAGTCTGGTGTTCTGCAGTAGCTGTGCCTGTATCTCTGGAAAGGGGGCCGATCGCCTAAACGGTTTTTACCCCTTGTGTGCAATACGGTCCGTTACAGATGCGCTACCAGGAGACAGGCTAGTACATCAGGAGACGTGGAGGAGGCCGTAGGAGGGCAACAACCCAGCAGCAGGACCGCTACCTCGCCTTTGTGCAAGGAGGAACAGAGCTCTGCAAAATGACCTCCAGCAGGCCACAAACGTGCATGTGTCTGCTCAAACAGTCAGAAACAGACTCCATGAGGGTGGTATGAGGGCCCGACGTCCACAGGTGGGGGTTGTGCTTACAGCCCAACACAGTGTAGGACGTTTGGCATTTGCCAGAGAACACCAAGATTGGCAAATTCGCCACTGGCTCCCTATTCTCTTCACACTGAGCACATGTGACAGACGTGACAGAGTCTGGAGACGCCTTGGAGAATGTTCTGCTGCCTGCAACATCCTCCAGCATGACCGGTTTGGCAGTGGGTCAGTAATGGGGTGGGGTGGCATTTCTTTGGGGGGCTCACCAGAGGTAGCCTGACTGCCATTAGGTACCGAGATGAGATCCTCATACCCCTTGTGAGAACATATGCTGGTGGAGTTGGTCCTGGGTTCCTCCTAATGCAAGCCAATGCTAGACCTCATGTGGCTGCAGTGTGTCAGCAGTTCCTGCAAGATGAAGACATTGATGCTATGGACTGGCCTGCCCGTTCCCCAGACCTGACTCCAGTTGAGCACATCTGGGACATCATGTCTCGCTCCATCCACCAACATCACGTTGCACCACGGACTGTCCAGGAGTTGGCAAATGCTTTAGTCCAGGTCTGGGAGGAGATCCCTCAGGAGACCATCCGCCACCTCATCAGGAGGATGCACAGGCATTGTAGGGAGGTCATACGGGCACGTGGAGGCCACACACACTACTGAGACTCATTTTGACTTGTTTTAAAGACATTAGATCAAAGTTGGATCAGCCTGTAGTGTGTTTTTCCACTTGAATTTTGAGTGTGACTCCAAATCCAGACCTCCACGGGTTGAAAAATTTGATTTCCATTTTTTAATTTTTGTGTGATTTTGTTGTCTGCACATTCAACTATGTAAAGAACAAAGTATTTCAGAAGAATATTTAATTCATTCAGATCTAGGATGTGTTATTTTTGTGTTCCCTTTATTTTTTTGAGCAGTGTGTGTGTATATATATATATATATATTTATATATATATATATATATATATTTGTGCTCTGAATCTCTATTATGTTAATGGAATGTATGAGTAGGCCTGTAAAAAAGAGGGCCCACAAAGAGAAATGTGTACAGGAGCGTGTAGGTGGGTGGGGTCAAAACAGCTTGAACGGCAAAGGTAAGTAGGGGGGTAGAGTTTATATAGGGTCATAACTCCTCCCACAAATTCAGGCCAATTGGCCTTCCAACTTGTGCTCAGAATCTCTATTATGTTAATGGAATGTAGAGGAGGAGCAAAGTTGGTTGAGGTGTGCCGAAACCAACGTACGAGTAGGTCTGTAAAAAAGAGGGCAAAAAGGAATTCAAAGTAAACACACTTTATTGCAAGTTTATACTGCAAGATTTCTGAAAGCCTGCCTGAGCATCCTTTCTGGTTGAGGGATGTAGGAGTTGTATATTGAGGATTTTCAGTGTCCCAGCCTCTAAATGATGTGTACTGAGGTGTTAGTGCTAGAGGCTGATGATGCTGCGCCAATGTGAAATGAGTGACCAGAGAAGGAAGCTGGGTTGTAGCCTTACCTAGACAATTGAATTCTGATGTGTGACATAAATTTAGCTGTGGTGAGTGGGTGTCCTTGGAGTAGAAGTAGTGGAGTATCTGGTGTGCGTGTGAGGTGAGAAACCAGGAGCATATCCAGAACATGTACAGGGCACCACAATTTCTCGGTAGGGAAGAGGGGAATGATAGTGGGATAGGCGGAGTGATTAGTCTTGGTAGAAGGCAAAGAGAGTACAAAATGGTCGTCTACTCTCTTTAAGTGAGAAAGTTTGAGGCATGGTACTGTGTCTCCTTGACGTACCACGGTGAACTCTCTAGGTCTGAGGAACCTATAGAAAGCCAAAAAAATTGCAGATTTAATGACTAAATTGGTATTATGGTCAAATGGGGATTTCTTCAATAAGTCGCTTAGGAACCGGAATATTGGAGCCTAGTCATGTTAGGGGGGACTGTGACCTTGAAAATACCTTTGAGGATTTTCTTAATGGGGTAGGAATACAGAAAATGAGCATGGTTAGGGAAGTTAGTGAGGATGTGGTGTTGTACTCCGGTGAGGTAGAGTTTGATGGTATTATGAGAAAGTTTAAGGTGTAAATGGCAAAAGGAGGCAAAAGCCACCATGTTTTTGATGGAACGGTTACCTTGTAAGCAAAACTTGGCTGTGAATTTGTTAAACATTTTCAGTGTCCTAGCGTAAGAGATAGTGGTGCATGAGTGTTTGTGCGTGGAGTAATAGTTTGTTTAAACAGGGTTAGCCTTGGAAACGATGGCGTCCTGGCTGATTGAAGGTGTGCCTGAGGGGGAGCCCGGCCAGAGACCTGCAATTTAAGAGCATAAAAAGAGTGTTAGCAGCTGAGTAGAGGAGGTGTAGAGAATGAGGTGTAAGATATATCTATCTTGCTTAAGCATGTATCC